TTCGAATATTAAATGTGAATGTTTTAAAGCTTTTATGCCTTTCTGTATTAAAGTAAGTGCCAAAAAAATCAGAGGTGAAGTTCAATACAGAAAGCGTTTTCAGTCTTAATGGTGATTTGTAAGGTAAGTATAAGATACCTGCCACTAAAAACTACAGTGTGAGTGGTTTAGTACAGAATTGGCTGTGGGCGTACAATCAGCTTGACAGTGCTAAGTAAATAGAACAAGTTCTCATTCTCCTGAAATTATGTTCTCATGCTGAAACGCTTTAAGAAACTGGTGTTTCACTGCATTTCAGTAATAAATTGCCTAAGATAAAGTTTAGGAATGAAATAAGCATTGTTTTTTTTTCCAAGGATAATAGAGTTTCTTAAACAAGACACGATAGTGAGTAAAGTTGGAAATTCAGCCTGTACACTAAAAACATATTTTTGCCTTCTCTTTGCCACATACTATTTACAATCTGATGAACTCATTACTAGAAAATAATTCTCATTGTTGTAATCATGTATATACTAGAAAATCTTAAAATCTGAGAATAGAAAAATTAAATACATTTCAAAAAAATCAGAATCCTCTATTTTATAGTGCTTTGCTGCTTATCCTAATTTATTTGTATTACTTTAGTAAAGAACAGATGAAGAGTTTCAAAACAGCTGTTATAATCAATGTATACAATGCCACAAAAGTGAAACAAAGCCCTGCTTTATTTAATTTTTCTCATTAATTATTCACTAACCTTTGGGATAGGCATTGTTTTGTTACAATATTTGGATTGTTTCTGCCAGAATGAATTTAAGAAATAGTTTCCAATGCAGTAATTCAGTAAAATTCTCTAGCAGAATGTAAAGCAGAAAACAGTTAGGAATTGCAAGAGAGTAAAAAGATGAGAAGCATAAATGCAAACATGTTTTCATGAGGTGATAACAGAAGAAAATAAGCAAGAAGCTGCATGACAACGTGGAGCCCTAGTTAAGCTTATTTGTGTTGTAATAGTGAAACCTACTAGTTCTGATGTTTCTTAGAAATTATATTGTGCTAGAATGATGTGATATTTTAAATGTTAACATGCTAGAAATAGTAGAATCTTGCTCAGAGTTAAGATCTATGTAAGGCCTGATATTACAGTACTAACTGTACACTAGTATGTACACTAAATGTACACTAGTACATTTTTTATCTATCAGAAAAAGAAATATTAATAAATAACATTCAGTGTTCTATATTTGGAAATCCTGTTCCCAAACTACACTTAACTATTTTGTTAGAAAATCCTTTAATAAATTTCTTTTAAACACTGTTCAGCAACTAAGAGCATTAATGGGTCTGTGAATACAATGAGAACAACAGTGAAGCTTACCTGACTTTTTTCTGCATCCAGAAAGAAGTAAATCTTGATGAAGGAAGTTGTGGTTGATCTAATTCTTTAAATATATGTATGCATATATACATATATTTGCTATGATTTCTAATTTTTTACTACCCGACATAAAATTTCAGTATCCCAGATATCTGTATGTATTGTCTTCTTTTTCACTTGGAACTTAAATAACCAGAGGGGAAGAAAACCATCAGAATAGTACAAATGCTCTAACCGGTCTCTGCCGTTACTATTACAGTATTCAAAAAGTTTTTCAAGATGGAAAGAGCTGAAATCTATACAAAACATACAGCATTTTACTGAAGGACTTAAAAAAATGTCTAAATAATTGGAGGACAGAAAATAGCATATGATTTCAAGGAATGAGTTAAGAAATAAGAAGATCGTTCTGACAGCATATTAAAAATGACATTGAGCATTGAGTTCCCAGAAGTGGAAAATGGTAATCTGACATACTTTGTAGAAAATTTGGTCCTATTCAGTTGATAAAATATGATAAAATATGAGACTTTGCATTTATTCCAGCTTAAAGTGTTTTACCTGGGCCTTTGTATTTTCCTTTGCTAGACAGTGTTGTCTAAAAAGTCCATAAATATTTTGCATTTGTGTCTGGTATCTCGGTATGTTTGCACTTGTTTCCCAAAGTGTTTCATAATCTCCTCCATAGGATTTAAAGTATATAGGAAACCAAACTCAAGACAACTTCTCCACATAGCATATTCTTTTCAAGACCTATCTTATTTCTGCCTGTTAGATTAATGTGATAAATCAGCTGCACCACAGTTAGTTGTGAAACATCGCTGTGGTTACAAGAATAGTTAGTAAATCCATGGAGGGATTGCATAAGTTATGCTAATATTTCAAAGGATACTCTGATTTTTGCTTAAGATCCATAGAATTTCTTTGTTTTTCAAAAGACATGAAAAATCTATAATGGCAAAAAAGCAATCATTTGGAAAGTTCTTATTAAAATTCTTATTTGTGACTTTCACAGAATAACAGATTCACAGGGATTGGAAGGGACCTCTAGAGGTCATCAAGTTCAGCCCCAAGCTAAAGCAGTTTCCTTACAGCAGGTTGCACAGGAAGGCATCCAGAAGGGTCTTGAGCACCTCCAGAGAAGGAGACTCCACAGCCCCTTTGGGCAGCCCGTTCCAGTGCTTGAGTCACTGTGACTCTAAAAGATCCCTCTTTGTTTGAACTGTACTCCAGATGTGGCCTCACTTGGAGAGGGTAGTGGGGAAGGACCTCCCTTGACCTGTTGACCGTGCTCTTTTTAATGCACCCTTCTTGGCCACAGGGGCACACTGCTGGATCGTGGCCAATCTACTGTCCACCAGGACCCCCAGGTCCTCCTCAGTGTTGCTTTCCAGCACATCCTCCCCCTGACCTGTGAAGAAGAGATGTTATAGCTATCTGTTCACCCCATCAAATAATTGCATAGAATTCCCATTTTGTTACCCTTTCATGGAAAGAGAATTCTGTTCAGTTGGCTTCTTTACATTATGGCATGATTTATTATTTGCTTCATGCACTGTTGATTGCTTGCAGAGTTTACTGTGAAATCTTCCAATGTTTGAATCTTCTATAGAGCTGTACAGTTTAGTACAATTTTGCATTGTCAGGTAGAAGCACAAGATGGTAAATAATGAGCTATGTAGTATTAAGCATATAAAAAGTAGTTAAAGGCATTAAAAGAATTTTCAGAAGTCTAGCTGATAAACATATACACTTCATAGGGAATATATTTATCTTTCAACTATTTTTTTTTAATCAGCAATAGAATTGAGAGTGCAGTGGATATGGAAAAACAAAAAGAACTCAAGGGAATATTGTAGATATATGGTCAGCTTTGTAAGTAGAGCAAAAAACCTAACTACCTGCATTGCTTTATCTCTCTTTCTCTAGCTAACGCAAGAGAAAGTTTCAATAAAGAAGATCATGTTTTGTATCACCATCTTTTCAAAGATGTCAGAAATTTTTCAGTATTATGCATGAGTATAGAGTACAAATATCATGATTGTAGCTCAGTGGTTAGCAATTCTAATTGCATGGATGATTATTTTGCCTGGAGGAGAGGGTGTAAATTATAAGGGATAACTTGAGAAGATTGATTGATTTTATCTTTCTTACTCAGTTTGCACATTTTTACTTTGAAATATTCTAACATACGTGTTAGAAAAGCTTATTAATGTGACCCTTAAAATAGAAACCATGGGACTCATTTTTTGCTTTGCAAATATATATTTAATAAGATCTTATTACTATCCCTGTTGTAGGGGCTTTATTCCATGCGCTCAGTAATTAGACCTAAAGTTAAATGATGTTTGATGTCTTGTCATGAGGCATTTACAGATACTTATATAGTCCCAGTGTTGGAACAAGCTGCAATCTGTTGTGTCAAATTTCATCTTCAGGTCTACAGGAACTTTCCTTCTCCTTCTGTTAATTATCCCACATTAATGTTCAGTTCCTCAGTAACGGTCCTTAAACCAGTGTACGTTTCATAAGAAGCTTTTAGCCTTTGAGGCTAAAAGGAGAGCAAAATGTGAGGTTGCCTGCAGAAGATTACTGTTACTCTCTAGAGATCAGTGGTCATTGGAGAGTAGCGCTAGAAGAACCGAAGAGGTGGAAGAGGGTTGTATCTTTTACAGTTTCCTCTTACCCTTTTTCTTTGCCTACCTTTCACAAAATGAATTCTGCTTATGTGTTTGCATCGCCAGACTTATGGTAAATTTGAAGAGTCGTATTTCTGCTGTCCTTTTATTAACCCCATTAAATTGATTTATCTTTAAATGTGCCCGAGTCATCTCTTTATGCTAAAAAGCCAGGATCTTAGCCAATTTGTTGTAGAATTCTTTTGGTTTGTTTTGTTGGCTTTTTTTTTTTTTTAAGGAAAGTAGTAATTCTTATTCAATGCTCTAAAAAATCAGCTGACAAATGCACTAATAAAAATTCTAAACGTTGTGGATTTCATCTACATTTACACCTAGATATTATGAACACTAAGCTGATAATAGTCCAAACTGCTTGTTTAGTTTTCCCACATTTTCGTTAGTGTTAAACACAAAGAATTTTGCTGTTATTCAAAATACTAATGATACTGAAACAAACTGAACACAGATTGTGATGCAAATGCTTCTCCGTGTTTTGAAGAAACAGCATGAGCCTTTGCAGCTGCTCATTTCTGGAGAGCAAACAGTCTGTCTCTCAGCAAAGCACAGACCTTCAGAACTGAAATAAACAAGTACGCATTCTTTGTGATGTTAGAAGATGTTTATGGTAGAAGAGGAACCCAGTGGAAGTAATACTGAAGTACTGCTATACTGAATGACTGCCTGCCTTACTTCTTATAACTCGTGGCATGGCAGGGTGTGCCAGAGGTATTTGCAAATCCTACCTCTGTCCCTTAGAACTTACCAGAAATTCAGTATCAGCCAAAAACATCTGTTATGAGGAAAATCTGGAATTATAATACTAATGTTTCTTGGTACTGGACTGGAACAGCTAAGTGTTTCTGCTACTATCCATTAACTATTCATCTTGCTCAATACGTTGTTTACACTGTAAGGTAAAGAATTCATGAAAGCTGTGCCTGTTTTTTTTCCCCATTTTGCAGATTGCACAGAGGAAGTGTGGGGATTTCCCATGTGTCGGTACTTGAAGGACAAGGGCTGGTGCTGCGGTCGCAATGCTAGAATGTCAGCATGCTTGGTATGATTCCCCTTTTTTTTTTTTTTCCTACTGAGAGCTCTATCCAGATGTTATAGGATTCATTGTTTTTGGCTTCTAATCCAAGAGCCATGACTTTAATCCAAGACTTTGCAGAGTAACGTCATTAATGTTGTAAGCATGATGAATTGTATCTAAAAAAATAGTACTGACCTTCCAGTATTATATATTTTATACTTGCTGAAGGCATGAAAAAATGAGTATTGACAGAAACATATTTTAAGAATGGACAGAAAGGCCAAACCTTTGGTAAAACCTAAACAAGGTAACCCCTTAGGGTAATAGTTCCTGGCCAAGGACTTAGAGTGGAACAAGGTAATTGTAGAAGGATTGCAATCAGTAACTCCCCCAACGCCTTCATGATTCATAATATTGAATGTTCTGACTGTTTTAAACCTAAACAAACTTGCCTCTTCCAAAAGTGAGAAGAGCTCTAAAATCCATGTGGTTTAACAGACTGGAAATATCTTTTTAACACTGCACCAGGAGTTGCAAAGACCTAACCTCAGTGAGACAGAATGATGAACTGTTGTCTAATTTGAAAGAACAGATATGTATCAAAAATTTTGACCACTGTTTCAGTTAGAAGACTAATATCCTTTATTAGTTTTTATTTCTTGTATCAAGATGAGTCATAGGTTCTGGTAAGCTTTTGCTGCTACCTCTTTACCTCTGTTAGAGAGAATAGAATGGACTAAAGAGGCAGTACAGGTTAACATATCAAGGTTATATAAATGCAAGCTAACATGATAATTTAATACTGTCAGATGAAAGTAAGGGAGGACAGTTAGTATTTCATTAAGCTTAAATGTGTTACCCTTGGCAAGGTACAAGAAAAAATCTGTTTCTTTTAGCCATCATGTTGTAAAACCTTTATCATAAAAATACTTTCGAAAAGAGATTGCCTGTTTTCTTTTTATTGTTAGTGTAATGCAATACCATTACTTCCTAGGCTGACCCATTAGATTAGTTGCTTTCTTTCCCATTCCTTTTCTTTTAGAAAAGGAAAGTCTGGGCTGTCTTTCAACAATGGTAGGAAGATAAATTTTGTAAGCAAATGACTCCGAAGAGATAGTACTGAACATGTGAATATATCTGTTTCAGAGTTCATAGAATTCACAGAAATTAGGCAGTTAAAAATTTCTTTTGTTTAAATCTTCACGAAGGCCAGGAGTTCTCCCATGTCACTAGATGCTTCAACTATTACTACATTTGAAATCCCCTGCTTGCATTTTTCATGACTAGGACACTCCTTGCCCTCTAGGAGGTAGAAAGGAGATGGTGACATGCAGCTGGGCACCCACCTTCCCAGGGGCAATGGCTAGCTTGGAGAAACTGAATCTGCTGAACAATGATAATATACTCACCGTTATAACATATGTTCATCATTACATATTGTTCAAATCGGTTAAAGGGCAAAGGGACAAAGGGTCTAGATGAGATAACTCAGATTCACACTCTTCCAGAACATGCTACAATGCACATCCATCTTCTACAATGCAGCAGGTGTGCACTTTTCACTTCTACAACTACTTGGATTGTAGTAGAAGCACAATCTGAAATACAAGATCAGTTCTCAAATTAGGAGAAGGAAAAGCAGGCGATTCAGTAAAAAGCAGTTCTGTCTGCTGTGGTGGAATTTGGGGACAATGATCCTTGAGTGGTGAGCCATTTTTGATTTTTTATCTAATTTATTTTAGTGTCAGGTAACTGATTGAAGTTTTTCCTTCATTTCTACTATGATCTTTATTGCTGGAGAAAAACATACCATGCTTCTGATTATTTGGTCAGTATGGATCATAAAAATCAAGTACTCTCATACCAACATCAGGATTTGTGATCTGAGGAATCTATTGTGAAAGTTTATGTATAGCATTTTTAACTTCAGTCCCTCTGAATTTTTAAATTTATTTACACTCTTCATACTAGAGTCTAAAAGTATTTAAAGGCATTGGCCATTCAACCAATCTTTACTTTGAAATAATTAATTAGAAAATGAATTTCTTGCATTTCTGGAAGAATAGAAGATATAAAACAAATATCTAATATTGCATTTAAAATATTATATTGTAATAAAGAATTATACAATAATTGTATACAACAATACAAAGACAGAAAAAATACAGAAAGAATTCTCAGAAATTCTTTTAAAAAACTAAGAAAAAGAAAGAAGTTTTGCTCACGTCGATACAGTTGGTTATCTTTGCTTCTCTTATAAATAAACCAAAATAACAGGAGTGAGCTGTTTACGGTTCTGTAACGGTATTAACACTTTAAAGTGTGCAAGCTCATGTTATGTCACACCATTAATCTTTTAAAATGCCATATCCTCTGACTTTTATACAATGTGTTTATAAAATGTTCTGATAAAGAATAAACATATCAGCAATTTAATTCTTTCACTCTTAAAGGCTTTGGAGCGAGTTGCAGTTGGCCAAATGGTAAGTCAGACTGTTTATTTTAACCATTCTAAGATAAAATGTGTTTTTCCCCTTTAAATGCTCTTAATCCGTGACCTTTTATTGAACTTCTGAATTTCTGGAATCTAAAACACTAGCATACACTACATCAAATCCTGATAGATAGCATGTGTCATCCATGAAATTGCATTTTTATTGCTGCGATTGTACCTAGTGAGCCTGTTTTCTCTTGATAATTAAGAGTCTGCAAAAAGGCAAGACTTAAAATTTAAGCTACTCTTCCTAACTTCTTGCACTATCTTTCAGCAAGTATATAAATTAAGTCCAAATGCTCTTCTGATATCCCTGGTTTGGATCACTCCATCCCAGTGTTATATCAACGAATGTAAAAATAGAAATTGTTATGACAAAAGCTTGTATCTGTAAGAAACATCATCATTCTCATTTTTAATCTCTGTATTTTTTTTTAAAATCTGTGAATACTTTGAATTACTGTTGTACAAGTTATCCTGTTTGGGATGGCAGACACCTACTGTGCAAATATTTAAAAAGACTGAGAACTCTTCTCTCTGTGTGTAATCCTCCTGTTCCCAGTAGTCTTTCATTGTGGGTGCGCTTTGCCACAAATTTTAGACTGACAACTATTAACTATTTTTATGGAAACAGATCTTTTATACTTAAAGATAGGAACTTTTAAGTGTATTCTGGTTTTATGAGCATGGTGCTTTCTGCATTGTTGAGACTACAGCATATGATGATTCAGCTAGGAAGTTATTTATTTGTCTTTAGAACAGTTTAGGTAAATTGTTATATTTATTTTGCAGACTAGAATTTGGGTCATGATCACTACATTTTTTCTCTGTTCTTTTTTTCTCTGCCAGTCTTTGAACTTCTACTTCAGGCTTTGGGTTTCTTTTTTTTTCTCACATTCAAGCTGTGTTACAATCTGACTGTGTAAATTTAACTGGATTCAGGAACATTAGTAAAATGTCCAGTTGTTATGACGATTGTAAGGAATGTAAACCAATAAGTAGAAGCCAATACTGTTTTGGTTTCTTTTTTTTTTTTTTGCTTTTTTTTTTTTGCTTTTTTTGTGCATGTTTTTTTTTTTTTTACTATGATATTAATTTCAATTCCAATTTTAAATCCTTTCTGTTGATTTTTTTTTTCAGCTGCCTACTGAATCGTTGTTTTATCGAGCTGTTCTTCAGGTTATTATAGAAGAAATTTATGGTGTCACCAAAAGGTAGGAAGCTCTGAATTCAGAGAATACAAAACAACATCTGATTTTCTGTCATCCCTTTCTGTATTTCTTAAGAAGCAGTTTGAAGAATCAGTCTCAGACTGAAATACATATTGGCATTAAAATGAAGGATGCATTTGTTCCTTCTGCACATCACATTTGCTCCTGTGTCCACATCACAAATGTATTACCCTTCCTTTACTCATAGCTGAAATAGGTCCTGCTTTGTACCAGATTCGTTATTAAAATCTATCTTCAACAGCAAAGCAATAGCAAACATCTAAAAGTTAACAGCCTAAGGCTGTCCTGTATTTCAGAAGACTTGGCAGCTTTAATAATGCAGAAGACAAAAAGACATTTCTATTTGTCCTGAGAAAAATGACCAGTGGCTAAAATGGCTGTGAAGGGCTACATCAGCAAGTGCTGATGGCTGCCTGTGTCTACGTCAGCAAGTGCTGTGCCCATGGACGATGGGATTTGGCAAGTTAGTGCTATGATCTTGACATCTTCACTAAACACTTTTCTGGAGTTGCAGTCTGGATTAACTTTTATCTCATTATGTGTGATGTATGCTCATTAGCATCTGGTGTAGAGCACACCTTCCAATTTAATCTAATTTTGGAGCTCTGATCCTGTTCCACAGCACAAACCATGCTGTAGGAGGGGAGCAAATCCCAAAATTCACTTGGGGAATATACTTATGATCTAAAATAAATGCTAGTGCAGATACCCCCAAGTCTTTTGCAAAGTGGGAAGCCAGACAGCTAGCTCTTCAGAAGGTCTCTTGAAAGAAGAAATACTTGTTTATTTTAAAATTACCTAAAAGTTAACGCGTAAAAGCATTGTTGATAAAGTGTGAAAAAAAGTAAGTATGAGATGATAGTATACTTCATTTGTAAAAGGAAGCATAATTTGGAGGAAGTAATTTAGGATTATACTTCTGAAATAAAAGCAGGGCAAGCCTACCTGCTTTCAAGCTGACTAATGTGAGTTGTCACCAGTTTCAGTGGAAAAGCTGATATTTTCTTTATTGTTCTGAAACCTAGTGTGATTGTTCTGCATTTTTTGAGATGTGCAGTTTCAGAATAACACTTAACACATTAAAGCAAGTGAGAGAATGAACTGTTAAGACTATGAACTATTATTAATCTGTTCTCCTTTTTTAAATGACTTGTATACAACATGAATCTATTAAATATATTGTATATCTATGCTGACTCTTGCCAGCAACTAAGCACTCACCATTCATCACACCCTCAGCAGGATGAGAAAAACTCATCAAGATAAGGACAGTTTGATAAGTTAATGAAAGGGAAAGGTGAAAAAAAAGCAGAGCAACCCTAAACACAAAAAAACAAAGCAAAGGCTCACCCTCTCACCAGCAGACTGCTGCCCAGGCAATCTTCAAGCATCTGCTACCTTGAGAATACCACCCTCCAGCTTTATTGCTGTGTGTCATGGTATACAGTATGGCACATCCCTGTGGTGTGTTTAAGTCAGCTGTCCTGGCTGGGTTCACCCCTGGCCTTTTGCCCAACCCAATCCTCCTTGCTGCAAGGCAGAGCTGTTTGACATCAGCTGAAATATCCATGTGTTATCAGCACTGTTTTAGTCACAAATGCAAAACACAACACCATATGCTCTGAAGAAAGTTAACCTATCTCAGCCAGACCCAATGTGATATCTTTCCCCCTCTAGCATCTCATTAGGAGGGCAGAGGCCTATCATAGCAGCATAATCATTAACTGATTTTCAGGCTGCATCAGCCCAAATGTTTAAATCCACCTCAATATTAAATATGACTACAGAAATTCACATTTATTAAAAATAAATGTGACCATTGGTTCTCAATGAACCAATGATCCCTGCCACCCAAAAAACATTAGAGCTGCTACTGGGTAAAGTCATTATGTTAACCTTGGTAGATGTTAATTCTGATCCTTAAATAAGGAGAAAGAGTTTTTACTAAGAATAAAGAGGGAGAAAAGTTTAAAATATTTACAAATTAAAATTAAATATATATATATATATATTTGTTATTTTTTCTACTTAGAATATTTTCTTCTTAAGAAATTGACGTGCATGTTCAGGAGCAGCTGTTACAGCTGAAAATGTAACTCCTAAGCTGCAAAACTGGATGAGGGCAGTGCTATGTGGGGGAATAGTCAAGAAAGTGAGTTCAGATTAACAAAAGCTTCATGTAATTTCTCCAAGATATTTTAAACAAAGAAGAGAAAATGAACAGATGTGACTTGTTCAGTGTTTCTATTTGGTCTTCATGTTTTTGTGCATTATTTTAACATGTTTTCTTAAATTGTCTGCAGTTTTAGCTGGCTTGAAAAGTGAGCCACCGCCGTAAACAGGGAAAGTTCTGGTATCACTTAACTAAGCAACAGTTTTGAGGATAAGAATACAAGGTTACAGTGAAATTTTGCTACTACCTGCTATTTGCTCAGCGTGTTGGTTCACAATAAATTACAGCGGCTTTGTAGTAAATAATGACAGTGTTATAGGAGCACAGAAGGAAATATCATTCAGCAGAAATAAGAATTTTGTCACTCGTATGAAGAAATAAAACCATCACGGGAGAAATTAAAAAGAAACCTTCACCTCTCTCATTTTTTGGTAAAATAGTAACCATCCTCCAGCTGTAGTACAGCTCAATGTGCAAACATGCCTATTTGTGCCTTGCCAACTTCTCCAAGTACTAGCTAGTTGTTTTAAGCGAAAAGGAGAAAAGGAAAATTGTCACTAAGTTGACTCAAGGGGCTGTCCAACAGATTTATTTGCCCTCAACTGGAAATTCAGATAACAATGATTTTTAAAATCTGTAAGTTTCTGCTAGTGGAATGCATGCATCTCAACATTATATTTGCAGTGATCGACATGTTGGAAAAATTTTCTCCAAATCATCCTCCTTCTTAGATTATGTCAGAAAGTCTCTGAAAAAACTGGAACTGGATGATTCAAAGGTGAGTCGCTAAACAGAGACTGCATGAAATCCTTATATCCATATAATTTCTTGAGCTCAGCACCATAATGCGGTGTTTAAACTGTGTTGTGTTCATGTATTGCTATAGAAAGTTTATATATTGCTATATAAAGTACTATTAATAGAGCTGATCTCTGTTTTGATTATATTTCTATTAAAATATGTTATTGTTTGTTTATTTAGTACATTATTATTTATTTAATATTATATTTCTATTAAGAAATATATCAGAATTGTTTCATGTTTTTTGGAAAGTCCTTTTCATGTATCATCTCTTTGGAAAGCTTTGTTTTTCTAATGACTTCATAGAAAACAATTGTCTTTTATGCGTGATGCTGATGATCAGAATTCTTGAAGGCCTTTCCAGTATTTTTGAAGATACTCCTACAAATCCCTTTTCAGGCAAAAGAAATGTTCTAGACACTTGGTTTTATACATGCAGTCACGTAGAGAAAACTAAAGCCTTTTTGATGCTAAGTGAAGCAGGTATGAAGAGTTTCTTCCCTGAGCTGATACTGTGCATCCTGATAAAAGTGACTCTTGCACCCTTGTAAACCCAGCTAACATACTATCCTATACAAAGATGTTGTTTTTTGCATTTGTATTTCTTTTTAAAATGAAAGCAATTGAAAAAGAAAAGAAAAAAAAAAAAAGAGAAAAAAAAGAAATATTAGGAAACACATTGACCCCTTTAAATTTTCATTTCCCTGGCACTATTTCTCGATTCCCTTTTGAAAGTGAAAAACATAACATTATAGTGCATAATACTGATCATTCCATCCATGCAGTGTGCTTCTTATACAGGTTGGTTCCCAAAGTATTTCCTATTGATTTTAGCCTTCGGACAGTCTCCTCAAGCAGCCTTTGAAGATGTTCTCTGGTACTGCCTCTGCATGTGGAAAAGCCTGATACTTTTTTTTTTTTTTCCTGCGAATTGATGAATGTTAAGGAGAAAGGGTAACCTTTTAAAATAACTTTCCCAGGTAGAGAGAAAGAAGTCAGTACAAAGCTGGGATTTAAACTTGAAAGGTCTTTTGCAATTTGTTTATGTTTTCAAGTGCCTTGTGTTATATCTTTACAATACAGCTGCTAAGTTGGTCAACAGATGGCAACCTAGCATTAGGCATGGAATATGGTTGTGTGAATGGAAAATCCTGGCTGCAGTGTAAGAATAAGCTGTGCAGCGGATACACTAGAAAGTGTTTTGCAGAATATTAAAAAAAAAAACAGTAAAAATCAAATAAAAAGTAGATGTGGCAAGCATATAAAATACTTAAGTTGAATGTTGTAGTAGTTTTTGGTAAATCAGTGCTTAATATCCAAAGTTGAAATGTGTAATCAATTAGAATTTACAGGCGCATCGAACCATCGACTAGGATAAAAATGTGAAACAAATAGCTAAAAGGCCAAATAATAGCAACAGATGGTGGAATCTTGCTTACAGCTTTTAGAAAAATACTTCTGCTACTTTGTTTTAAAAGGGATATTTATTTTAAAGGATTCTTAGTTTAAAAGGAGTCTTAGTTTAAAAGGATTAAATTCTGTTTGCTAATTGAGTTACCTGTTTGCCTTTCCATATAAATAGATGCTAACATCACACACTTGCACTGGTTTAAAGTAACTGCTGGCATCTTCCTTATCGTGAGTGCAGTCACCCAAAAGCAGCAGTGGATTGTTTGTGTTACAGCCAGTTTAATGAATTATTGATTAAATTCTGCCGGTAAAGAGTTACACATTATTTTCTTTAAAACTAGTGAGCATGGAAACTCCATGATAACGTGCCTGATTTTAGAAGTGCTGCCTTTTGCTAGAAAGGCTCTGGGCAAGGCTGCCCTGGCAGAAGTGTATCTCAGCACCACTTCAAGCTGCATGCTTGTGTGGGAGCTGAAGATCTCATTCAAATAAATGCTCGTTTTTGCTCATGTTTCTCATTTTTATGTGCAGCTGGCTGCACACTGACAACTGAGTTTTATGCTGATCAAAATAATATTATTTTTCATTTCCCAGCTATATTCAAATCTGCAGCAGTATAAAAGCGGTGCTATTTTGATGGTAGGGTGAGGAAAGTTGTTACTGCTCCCTCAATGGTGGCTCTGACATTGCAGTTTGCATGGTGGAGTCAGCACTCTATCTACACAGTATTGGAGAATGTGTTAAATTCCTCTCTTCAGAAAAAAATACTTACATAGCTAAAAATGTGATGAATGCTATGCACTTGCTCTCACAGACAACAAATCAAAGAGAAATTTATGCAGAGTATGTTTTCTAGTTCTGTTTTTAAAAATGAACAAAAGAGCAGCTGCACTGCATAGACCAAACGTCTGCTCTGTTTCTGGTGGTGGCTAAAAACTGGTGCCTGAGGAAAAGTGCAAGTAAAGAGTAAGCATAAGTGGATAGTACTGCCACAATAAGCAAAAACGTGCCCGTCATTCACTGATAAAGGAGTCAATCATTGTCTTCATTCATCAGTTTCTATCAGTAATGTTCAAAAAGCAGCTAAGTAAAATCTTGGTCAGATCAGAAGTGCTTCTTGCTTTCTCTGGAAAAATAGAGTGAGGGCAACTGCCTGAAAAACCCAAACTACCTCGATGCTCATTCATGTGCATTTTGCTAAATGAGGGCTCATATGAGGGCTCTTCTCAGGTATTCAGGTACTTCAACCCCATCAGTTCATCACTGGGACAACGCCTCTTTCATGTGTGAAATAGATGAGAAGGTCTTTGCTGATCAGAAATGAGAACCAGAGCCTTTATGAAAAGATTGTCAATCAGGACTGAGTGAGACAGAATAGTAATATTCTATTTTATTTTTTGCCCTACAAAAAGTAGCATTTGCCAGTCACCCATTTGTTGTTACAAGTTACCCTTCAGGGACAGAAGTTTCCCATTACCTTAGCCAAAATAATTTCCTCCATAGTGTTTCTTTTCAATGTAGAAGAGCCTGTCAATTCCAGATTACACACTGAGATGTAAATGAACTCTTTTCCTGCCTTTTGTTTGAAGACCATTTTTTTCGGTAGTAAAACTGAGGCATGCACCGTGACTGTCGAATTTCTGACAAAATATTCTCATTTTGTGAGGGCAGAGAGGGGTCTTCTAGTGTGAGCTTGATGCTTCACAGGTATGGTTATATTGCTCCTACATTCAGAACTAATGGAATTGCTTTGTGGGCCATGGGCCACTGTGCAGGGCTTCAGTAATTGGCGTGGATACACACAGAGGCAGTATTTTATTCCAGGTTTTTTTTCTCCCTGTGTTCCCATACACACCATGTTGTACAAACAAAGCATTCAATGTTGCTTAGATATGGAATAAATTCTTTCTATCAGGTTTCTTCTCCCTTTTGTTCCCTTTTTGCCTGATTTAAAATGAGCGTGGGACTCTCATGAGAGAATGAAGTGCTCATCCCAGTTCCTTCTTCTGATGGAGCTGCCCTCTCATGCACTGTCACTCTCACTTCTTTCGAGTAGTAAGGGCAGCTGCTCCTTCCTCTTGCTGCATTTCTTCAGCATGATGTGTTTCCACTGTTTGTGGCCTTCTTGCAGATAGATTTAAGTGTTCTTAAATTGCCCTGTGTCCTGTTCCTATTGGGATAAATCAGGCAAAAGGATGTTCACAGAGCGATGAAAGGTTATGGGCTTAGCAGGTTAAGGCTGGGAGACTTAGGGACCTGCAGTCTAGCCAGGATGATGACTGTTCTGTTAAGTTTAGGAGTTGGACTCGATGATCCTCATAGGTCTCCTCCAACTTGGGATGCTCTGTGATTCTAAGTGGGAACCTCGGTGGGTGAAGCTGCTCAGCAAGCAAGCTGGCCAGGATTTATTTCAGGACGGAATGCTGTTTTGTGCCACATCTGATTGCAGGAAGATATACAGGGCTGGGAACACTCCTGACACATCCGCAAACAAAAGCTATTAGTCACTGTGATTTCATCTCCCGCTATACTTACACTGTAGCTGCTGCTAGGGGCTAATAGCACATAAGGTAGTTACTTTGTCTTAGTCAAAATATTTCACAAATTACTTAACCCTTTGAGATGCAGACATATGCTGGGGAGGTGGAGTAGAAGTTTTGAAGATAAGGTCACCTTAAGCTTCCACAAACAAAGAGAAGCTTTTTTCCAGTGAGTGAGTGTGTTGTGGCAGATTCACTTGGTTTTGTTTAACTGAGCTTCCAGGTCTCCTGTGACTGGTGTTTTTAATTTCTGAACCACCTGGTGACTGCACATAACCTGAATTTGCTTCCTGCTGAAAAAGTCATGTATTTGGTGAACAACCTGAGATAAGAATCTACAACAGTAAACAGATGGTTAACACACACTTTCCACCATTCCTGTTTGCTATAGCTCTGACCAGAATTCTTAAAAACAGCTGCCACCCATTTGTCTTTTTCTGACCCTGGGCTTCAGGTAGAACATCTCTCAAAGATCTACAGCTGTCAGGTCTGAACTGCTGGATCAGCAAAGGGCACTGGACCTGTCTGTGAGGTGCTGAACCCATCACAGTAGCAGTGAAATTAGTAGCGCAGTAACAGAAACTCATGTCCTGTAAAAAGCTCATTTGTCATCTTACATGATTTAAACAGCTTTCATTTTTCATATATTATGGCTAGCAATGTTAGAATATTTTGAAGTCTTCATTTAGCTATGTAGCTAAATGTGGGTATAAGTAATATCATCCTGCACATTTTGAAAAGGTTAATTATTTAAAGTATATTTAATTAAATGAATGCATTAACACTTTCTTTTGCTACAATAACTGATACTTTTTGGTTTATTTATAATTAATAATTGTTAAATAATTATATAATTTTCTCTTATCTTTCTGAAGGTTTTTTCAACTTATTATATATCATTAAATCATGAAGTAATCCTTTTCATACAGTAGTTATGCCTACATTTTTTAATATCACTAAATAAATCCAAAGAGATCTGAAATACAGTGGCCTTAGTTCAGATCTTCTGGAATTCCTATACTGCTTC